TCGCAGTAAGTGCAAGAGATGCGTCTCTTCTATTAGTTCTAAGTATAGTATTGCATCTGGGCAAACATTTTTTCTCGCTGTCGATGTTTCGAGAGAAAAAGAAGAACCGCAATAACAACGAAATAACACGAGAAAACCCGTAAAATGAAACGCAACGCGCCGTATTGTGTATGATATCGCAAAAGTTTTATTATCCATCAGATTTGCTGCGGTGTTTCGCGCGGTTGTTGAGGAATTAAACATCCGGCGTGTTAAATCATGAATTAAAATTCTAATCCGTTCAGTGTGGTCGAATACACACTATTTGGAATTAAATTTTTCATTTTCATAATCCATCCCTCTTTATCTATCCCTGTATCTTATCCCTTTTTATCTTCCATAACCCTCTTTCCTTCTTTTTCTCTGGAAACTTTATCACCTCGGTATAACTGCGAGGGAAAAATCAGTTTTCAAGAAATATCGCGCTATGAGTAACAACGATGAATAATAATCACGCGCATCATCTCCTACAATTAATCCTTTAAGTGATATGTTAAATTCTTGTTTTATTGTATGTTTTGTATTTTATTTGTATTTATTTTATTCACTATTGTATTTCTTAACTTATAGCAAAAATACAAATAAAAATCAGATTTATATTTCATTTTCCAACATTCTCAAAAAAAAATAAAAATAAAAATAAAATAAACCTATATATGCTTGATTAAAAATAAATCCCCCCAGACAACATAATGTCTAAAATCGGGACATAAGACGTCTTAAGGATCATCTTTAAGATGTCTTTCAGACGATTTACATATAAATGTCTTTAAGGCGTCTTAAAGATTATCTTTAAGACGTCTTATGTTCCGATTTTAGACATTATGTTGTCTGGGCCCGTACTGGAGGAAATCACGCGGTCAGTTGAAATCACCAGAGGGGTTAACCTAACTTTTAATAAAATCTAATCTTCAAACGAACCATTACCTTTTCAAATACCAACATATATGAGAAAGACCATGAACTTTTAATACAAACTTTCGCTTTCAAATATCACACAACCTTTATAAAGACTTTCTCTCGAAAAAGCTTTCATTAGAAATACAAAATGTATATTCAAGTCTCCGCTGAGACCAAGTGTACTTACATAACCACCCGACGGAATATCCGACCGAGGGAGAAAGAGAAAGCCCGGATATAGACGATCCATTATCTTCTTCCTCGCAAAAATGCACGCTGCCCGGCGACCGGGGCGGAGGAAGGGAGAAGAGGAGAAAAGGGAACGATGCGCCGACCGTTAATCGGCTAACTGCGATCCGATTTTCGCGACAAGGGTCGCGCAAATACGCGAATCTCTCCGGCGTTTCCGCCGAGGAGCCTTATCCTTTCCGTACAACACGCCTCCATTAGCGATAATCGCCACCCTTTCCCCTCCCCCCCCCCCCCTTCCTGCTAATTACGTGCCACGTGCGCGCGTTAATACCGACCGACGTTTGCCGGCTTGTCGCGTTGAGACTAACACGCATCTCGATAACGCGCACGACTCGCTTCGCTCACTCGTGCTGCGAGTGACGTCGCACAGTGTCAGACCTTAGTCGAGACAAGCTCGACGCATTGTCTTATGCACCAGCCAGCCAACCAGCCAACCAAGCAGCCAGCCAAACGGCTTGTCTAACTGGCTGACCCCTATTCGAGGACGTCTCCTGACGACCGCAGAACAGCCGGGAACCACCACCACCTCTGGTCTCCGTTTGCCCATGCAAATTGCTTTGTCGTGGCCGGCCCCGACGGGTTCTTACCGGCCATTCACGAACCGCGCAAACCGAATCCGAGTCTCGCTCATATCGGACCGCAAAACTCGAACTTCCCTTTGTGACCGATGGAATTCGCCCGGGTCCTTAGCCGGTCGCTTATCGGTCAATTTGCAAAGCATTCGCGGAGTCTGTGTTTACGGGGCTCTGGACTGGCTAATTGTTCTCCCCAGACTGAATTAGCGATTAGACGGCGGACGGATCCATCCGCCGTGCCGCGGCTTGAGGCATCGTGTATTGGACGCCTATTAGAGAACCTCAGTCAATTTCGATAAGCAATTACGCGGTTATTTAAACAGACTATCGGTCGACGCGTCGCATCTGCACTAAGAAAAAAGAGATTTGGTATTTGTAATCACAATCGCACAGAGAAATAATTAAAATTGTAACTATGATCACATAGAAAAATAATTAGATTTGTCAATTTTATTATTGCATCAATTTTAATCTCTAAAGTAACAAGAAAGTTGTAGACACTTTTTCCAAATAGAGAAACATCTCTTCGTCGTTTCAAGAAAGAAAATAAAACCACGGAATTAAATTTAAGTGGTGGAACCATTCTCTCATACTTCGACGAAACATAATAATACTGTCGATCGCGGAAGTCTCCGCGCTTGTCTGCCATAAGTTAGAGCCGATTCGGTCACCCCCAAACTTTTAATCCCCCGCAAACGTGCGCGCTGTACTTCGCCGGAAATTTACCGAGAACGACAATTATCGCGCAGACATCGAACCAATTTCGAGAACGAGGAACTCCACGAAAATTCGCCGCGATCGGTATCCCCTCGAAAAGGTAACAATTCCACGATAATGGTACGTGTCGAATCCTTCTGTTCGTGCAATCTCGAGCTGGGTGGAGTGGAAAGAGCATACGTGTGGGCGAGCATGGCGAGACGAGGCTAGGCGAGAGAACGTAAATACTCCTACAGCTTTCGGCCTCCTTCCTCGATCGTCAATTCTCGTCGGTTGCTCTTATTTTGTGTACCGGGCACCCCCATAAACATCCCCATCCATCAAGCGCCACGGCACGTAATATCACGAGTGCGCGCGTGCCTTCTTTCTCTCTCCCTCTCGCCTCCCCCTTTCTCTCTCGCATACATCCACACGTATATCCAGTAATGGAGCGGTCGGCAGAGTTACAGCTTTTCGATCAGGTCGCCCGACTTTAAAGTTGCCGGCGAATGATTCTCGAGCAAGCATCTGCGCATGATTTCCTTGCGGTGTCATTTCCCACCAAAGGTGGATGCACCGCGGTACCAAAGTGCACTCCATTTGATGCCAGTGCCGACGTTGCCTTGACCGTTTCTTTTAACCTCTTTCTCCGATCTCGAGTACCATTATGGTGTCTTATTCGGCGAATTTAATTCGTTTATCGACGAGAAAAGATGTAGCTTACGGAAAAAGTATTTGGTTGAGTTGACAAAATTTCTGATAAAACATGAACGAATCAGAAAATTCCGATTGAAGTTACCAGAATTCTATTCAAGTTAACCAAAGATCTTGTTAACCTGAACGGAATTCTCTAGTAACTTTAACCGAAATATAATCAAAGTTTTCTTGCCGTATTGAAAAATATTAACCCTTACAATCCGGGAAGCTACTAGTAGCACAACAGCAATTTCGTGAAATACAACTGCAATTATTTTTATTATTATCATTATTATTATCCATCTTTCCTACACAAATGAGTAAAAAAAATTTTTTTTAAATATAGAAATTTAAAAAATTGTTTAAATAACAAATACAAAAAAAGGTAACTAAATACGTAGACATATTAATGTAATATCAATTTTGAACCAATAACAGACTTTGAAATTTATGTAAATAATAACTGACATTTTGTTTTATATTTTAACTTTTTTTAATATTATATTATATATTTTTTTATAACTTTTATTTGTCAATAATGTATAAATTTATTTTTTTCATGACTTTAAATACACTGAGAAAAAATACGCTCTTCTTGAAAATTTATTTATAGAACAAAAGTTTATTTCCCAGAAACAAATTTTATTTGTTAAGTTAAAGTACAGAAATGTACTTTATTTCTTTGTACTTTATAAACACTTTGCATCACACAAATAAATTTCCAAGTATTTTTTCTGTACAAAAAAAGTTTTTCTGTAATTGAATAAGAAAAAAATCTAATTGAAAGAAAATTTGCTGTACAATCCGGATTTTTTATCGGTCTATCCTTTAATATATATAAGAAAATTCTAGTTCAAGGATTATAAAAGTTGCCCAAAAAAACTGCCCAGACTGTAAAAATTAACCTTTTAACGGCGGGAGTGGTCGATATATCGACCAGCGATCAAGTTGGCGACTCCACATAAGAAATTCATTACATTTATAGCTAAATTTTCCGTAAAATAAGAAGTCAATTTCAATTGAAATTCATTCCCGCCGTTAAAAGATTAATAAGAAAATTGTGATCTTTTATCGATTCGACGAGACCAGCCTGCCGTTTGTTTAAAAAATATGAACAATATACCTTCTCATAACCTAAAATAAGTAATTAAACAAAACGAAAATTCCCCCCATTTTTACTTAGAAGGATGATACGGCGTTTAATTCAGTGAAGTAATAGTAATAATTGACGATATTTTAGTCCGATACCATTGCATACTAGCATTATGTCTCGCCCAATATAATGTTTATCGATTGATCATGCAGTAAAAATATTTGCATTGGATTAATTTGTGACGCAAAATACAAGCTTCGTTCAGCTTATAATGTAATTTAGTTTAACGCGAAACCAACGTGCTGAACTCAACGCAATGATTTAGTTAATGATGACGATAACGAACCGAGTTTGATATCGGCCAATTACTTGCGCTGCGGCGTATATATTAATCATCTACGCCGCGAGCGTCATGTTTCATTATTTACTTATATTCTCCCGCGTATGCATTGTATTTCGATCTATCACTTAATAGGCTTACAAACCAACACTGCGCAAACTTTACTTCGCGCCTAGTCGTAGCAAATGTTTTATATAACTGAATGCTATAAACGCGCGATATCGCGCACTATTGATGCTTAAATCTAGTTTAATAATCAGTGAACAATAGCAAGTTAAAATAATCGCGCATTGTCAAAAAATACACAGCTTACGCCCGATAAATTTTTTTATTGGGAATCAATGCGATTTGCACATCAACATGCACTACGTAATGTGACGCTTTGTGAGCGCTCAAATTGTGCACTCACCATTGTGATCCAACGTCGTCCAGTCCCGTCCAGGTAAGAGATGAGACCCATCACTGCATCTCGAACGTACTCTGAGTATCCAGCCTTCTCAGACACCCAACCGTCTCGTCCCACGTCGATCGACCTACATTTCACTTCACTCGCGACCACGAATACTTTAACGGTGTTTTTACGATTAAGCGAGAAGTATATGATAAATTTTAGCGTCTTGAGAATATGCTCGCGAATCCCGAATCGCGTGGAAAAAATTGCGAGTTAAATATCGCAGCATTTTTCGATAACGACAAGAAAAAGAAAAGATATCTCGTTTCGAGGACTTTATCAAGAAAGAGAAACTCCGCAAAAATTCTAACTCTTAATACTATCTTTTAAATTGCAATTAATTCCTACCAAAATAATATAAGCCGTTACATGTAAAAAATTTAGAAAAAGAACGATTGCGATGATTGCAAAATTTATCTTGTTGAATAAGTGATCGTGAATTTCGCATATGATAGCGCAAATCTGATGCGCACTTTGCGCAATTCTGACGCGCACTTTTGCGCAATTCTAATGCGCTACTTTGTTGCGTAATTCTGAAATTTTTGCACTACTTGAAACAATCAAAGAATCACATTGAATAAAAAAACTTCCGTCGAATATCTCGGTATCATCAATAAAAAACACGGGTAAGAGCTTTAAAAAAAGATATTAAGCTTTAAGAAAAGATATTAAGAATTGATATCTTAAAGGAAAAAAATATTCGATATTTCAGATATTGCTAAATAAAACAATTATTTAAAGAAATAATCCTCTGATTGATTCTCACAGTGCATTTCATTGGACAACATAAAAAAATTTATTATGTAAAACCCTACACTGAAAGAAAAATCCGTTTAACACTTCTAACTGTAATACCAAACAGTGAAATAATTATTTTTGTAGCAAGTGCTATTATAGTGTTCTTAGTAATAAATCTTGTGTATATTATTGTTATTGTTTTTCATTGATCAAGAAAAAAATGTGGCTAACACCGAAAATAACTCTAATTTATAATGAAACTAACTATTTCTTTCTCTCAGTGTATGCATGCAAAAATATAAAAACTAAAAAATCGCATTGATTTAGACAAGATTTCATATGTTACCACCACCTTAAAATTTTAAATCATTTTTTATATTTCTGACTCACTGAAATACGGGGAACTCAAGATCGGCCATATTCTGCTGTAATTCTGGAAAAAAAAATTAGCATCTCCAATTAGATACATTGAAAAAAGAAAACGATTAAGTTAATAAGACTTTATTTAAACGAGCCAAATTCGTTCAAGCAAATGTTTAATCGATCGAACGAATTATATAGTTGCTGTGATGAGTTATATATCACAGCAATAGTATGAGTTATTGTCAATTTGATTAAATTAATTTGATTTCATTGATTCAATGACGTGTAACCTAAGATGACCAATCGTTATCGATCTATTAAATAAAAAGGTTTTAAAAGAACAAGTGGAAATTATTAAAAGTATTTTACATTATAATATGAACTTATTATATATATATGAACTATATTATATTATATTCATATTATATATATATATGTGTGTGTGTGTGTGTGTGTGTGTGTGTGTGTGTGTGTGTGTGTGTATAAAGTCGTATTTTTTACAGATGTTTAGTAACAACGTCACTCATAGTAATTTAGTAATCTAGGTAGGTAGTAATGATAGTAATTAAATAAAACTTACTACAGGTATTCTATTATCAAGTGGGACAAATGTTAAAGTTTATGAAGGACGGATCTTTTTTATTGTACACGAGTTGCGTCGTTCGAATTGGTCAATGTGCAATAAAATCGCTGACTGAACGAATGTCTCTCTTTCTCTCTCTCTCTTTCTCTTTGCATGTGCAGGGTGAAATTTATTCTGTAGAGTTTCCACGTGCCCGGAGGAGTTCCGGGGGGTGGATTGATGAATTTTTATCTGAATTCGACGTGTCGATGAAGCGCATACGGCTGTAGTCGCTCTGTTGTTTTTTTTTTTTATTGATAGAATAAGATAAATTAAACGGCAACGCAGACAAATCTGTCGAAATGTCCGGATAACGCAAACATGTGCGCTCTCTTCCCCCACAACTGCGATACGTTTTTACGAGTTGACGCATCGGAAGTATCGCGCACGCGATTGATCCCCGCTAATTTCAGTCGCGCGATTTACGAGTATCTGCCTCTCTCCTCTGCGTGCGCGGAGAGATACGACGACGATAAATACAAGCGGGAAAGCCAGAAGGAGGGAAGGAGGGGGGGGGGAGAGAAAGAGAGAGAGAGGAACAAGGGGTGACGAAATATCAACCGAAATAAAATGATCGTGACTGATAGACAGAGGAGGAGAGCGGCGCGGTGATTTCTGCAAACAGACGCGTCAAATATTTTGCAGCGAAATCAACTAGAGCGCCCCGCCGCGTAGACCTCTGCAACGATTTGACATTCTATTTGTCCAGACAACACAACATGACTCTTCCCTCCTGGGTCGACTGTACAGCCGACAATCAGCGACTTTCCTCGTTCAGAGACCCTCCCAAAAATGCTCTCTCCGGCGATTGCTAGGCTCCCCGCCGCCTTGTCATTTCGATATTTACGCGAAATTACGGACCTCGTCTCAGGACGAAGCGAAGTCCGGTCTGGAAATCCTTGGCAGCCGTACAAGTTGGCAGACGGGTGGCTTCTTTAATCTTCGAATGCGGCGCGCGCGAGCGGACCGAAATTGATTATAAAACGCGTCCGCGGCGCTCCTGCATCTTTCATTTGGGACGCGCGAGCGAGCGCGCACTTGCGCCAAGTGCCGCGCAAATGTTGCGTCCCTAATAGTGGTCGCGTCCGAATAACACCGTTGCGCTCCGCTTGTTTGGAGACGAGCGCAATTTCAAGCGCAAATGGAAGGCACGGAAAGCGTCAAGAATGCCTTTCAGTTCCGGTTTAGGTATTTTTTGTTCAATCGCGCACATTTCGCAATGCGCATATTAAAGAAAATTTGTATACTGTATACTGTTTATATATGTATAAATAATGTATTTTTTACTATAACTTTTTTCAACTATATTCATACAGCTTTAAAAATATTATTAGAATTATATTTTTCAAAGATTTCTACCATGATTAAAATAAATAAATAAATTTCGATAATTTTCCCGGGAATTACATGAACAAAAGAAAATACGCAGAATAAAATTTACTCATGTTTAGGATTCACGTAACATTTTTATGTTAAGGATTAATTGAAGACTTAAACCAGAAGATGTATAATACTGGAATTGAAAAGTTGCAATAAACGATAATCTGCCTCGACATTTCCAATCGGGAAAAATCAATTCCCCGGATTAATTGGAGAATCTGTCAATAAAATTAAGGTTATGAATTGTGACGCATTTTGTGGGCAAGAAATATCTATAAATTCTCATTTGCTTTGTCATAATGTATTTATTATATTTATACGAGCGCACCTGTGTTCTCTCGATGGATGCCGTAAAACGCGCTATGAAGAATCGCGAGCGTCCACGCGAGAATGCACGCAGGAACGATGCTGGCACGATGATGAAATTACAAATAGCAAATCGTCCCGCGTTTTATAGTTATTATTGTCTAATTTTACCACACCAATACCCCGACGACGAGGAGGAGGCCATCAGCGATTTACAGCCTCTGTCGTTTAAGCGGCCGCTTGACGACCGCAATTTTGGCAGGGTCGTTTCGGTCTTATAGGAGGAGGGCTTTTGCGAGCACGTCCTATTCCCGCGAGATGATAAACGCGATTTTACAGTCGATACTCGCGACCGCGTTATAAGCAATTAATAGCCGCTGTCTGAATTATTACCGATATATACGTACGGGAGAAAATTCCCCGTACGCGCAAACATCGCACGTCGGATTTATATTTCGCGCTTCCGAATCTCTCCGTCAAAAATGTAGCAACAACATGTAATTCCAAGCGTAAATAATAACTCGAAAGATCCTTTGTTATGTAAATATAATTAAAAATTTAATTCAATATTTTTTTTAATTAAATAATTTCTATTTCGAATTTTTCATGCGAAAATCCATGAAATAAATGTACAATCGACTTGGGAAAAGAGAGAGAATTTAATTAAAATAACAATTAGAATTCAGGATCGGTTTGACTATATATACATATATACATATATATATCGCATATCGCAAAAAGTTATACTAAAGTTTTCATATTGTATTTTACATGACATACTGTTTTGAGCAAATTTTTATCTTTCTTTTTGTATCTCTCTTTTGCTGCTGTTTTTTGCCGAAAAACACCTTGAGAATCTAGTATTTTTTTTAACAATCTAAATATTCAGATTTTCATGATTATCACGACGTGAGACGAACGATGATGGAAACACGGTAGTTTTTTAATCAGATTTGTGTAGCAAATATATTATATTGAATTAACCATTAAATATTTATAATTTATATTAATTTATAGTAATTATTAAATATTTATTATATTAAATTAATCATTAAATATTTATATCACACAATAGTGTAAAAATTGTTTGTTATATTGATGCAGCTATAAATTAACTGAAAGTTACATTCAGATATTTACATTACATTTTGCACGACATTTGGAGCAAATTTTGATCGTTTGTCTCGTATTTCTTTCGTATTTCTATTTCGTCATTCTAAGTGATAAATATGAATGTTGCATGAATCACTCATGTGAAATACGTAGCCTTTACAAATCGATTAATAAAGTTACTACCAAATTTACGTGCATCTATCTGAGAAGCTATAAATATAGAGAAGAAAATAATATAATTATATTCAACAACTTTTTTTTAATCAGTAGATAAGATTTGATACACAACGTTACGAAAAACATGCACTTTTCCCTGCACATTGCTCGATATTCGAGGCATTGCGAAATCCTATAATATCGGCGGGTCGTTAAACAACAGTGACCTTACCAGCACGAACTACCGCGGATAGTATCTCCATCGTTATTTCGGACGGACCGCAACTAGCTCGGGTTACCTGATTAATTAATGACTAGTCTACATTCACGAGGATGACATTTCGTTATGCGAGCGCGCTTTGTTGCGTCGCGCCCGGCGCCGTTATTGCCGCGCTAATTCATCTGATCGGCCGTTTATTAGCATTACACTCCTAGAATGTAATTCCGTGTACGTGCCGTCCATTAGCAGACGCGTAAACCCATTCAGCCATCGAGACAACATTACATTCAAACAACACCTCGCGCGCTCGTCGCGAATTACATCATGCGAAGAACCTAATTGTAATCCCTGCGGTCTGCAGGAACGCAATTAACAGCCATCGCAAAAAGGAAAGCTGAACTCCGCTTGTCACTCAAGGGGCAATGGATATAAAATCATTTGACAAGACTCTTTTGAAATAACTCGAGGATTTCTCTTTCAAATGTTTACATCACTCAATAGATATCTCAAAAGAGCGTTGAATACTTAACGAATTTTATAACCACGAACGTAAAAGTGCAAATATTATACTATAAGATGACATCTCGATAAAAAATTAAGGGAACAAATTTTGCTTTCTTTTTCTCCTAAAAAAAACTGCGCAATTTCGAGCATCAACGATTCTGCTCGGCACACGATCGCCATATTAGTTTCCTTAGAGGGAAAATCGTTGTTTCACGAGATGGGGCGAATTATTGCTTCGCCAATATGAAAAAGTTGAAAACAAGCCAAAGTAAATGTGCATAATTATGTACAGTGGGGAGAGGATTTTTGATGGATTAGCAAATACACTTATATTTTAGCAATTTTCGCGCGTTTACTTATACTCGGTTCGAGCCGCAGGGAGCTGTACGGTTGCAGTTACCGCGGTGAATGTACACTTTTGAACTTTGCGAATTACGTGTTTTCGCGAGCAGCACAGAGGAAATTTCTAAAATAACGCAAAAGGAAGCACATACGTACGATATATTGGAAGGTACACACAGAACTAACTCTACGGAGGGTTAAATCAACGAGCAATCGATATCTCACTTCCTCGTGAAATTAATCGCGCGTCCCGGCAGCGAATAAACCAGCAACGAACTTCGAAATTTTCTTCACCCCCGCGTTCCTCCTCCTCCCTCTCCCCTTCCCTCTCATTCTCTCTCTCTTTCTCTTCGGATTGATGTCCGACCAATCGCCGGCGCACTTCATACCGCCGGTCCATCAGAAGAGAGACGCCGCGCGAAGAAAT